CCGACGAGTCCGAATTGCGGACTTTGTACTGTACTACATACATAATCTCCCCTTCCTAAGCGGCATTTTTTGACACGGAAAAAACAAGAAAATTACTAACGCATATACTAAATAAATGAATAAAAGTTGTCTTTTGTACTTAATACCGAATATTTTACAAAGGAAAAATCGAATGTTCCATTGACATCTTCATTGGAAGCATGGAATCTAGGAATTCCAAATACAATCTAATAAAAATTGTCCAAAGCAGCAAATTTGGATGTTTGGTTCTTGTAGAAGTTTTGGTTGAAAATACCCTTTCTACAGCTGCATGGTTTATTGGCAAACTTTAACGGTTAAACAAATTAATCAATTAAGCATGGGAAGACATCAACCACTGGCGCTGAAAACTGTTTGCACCTGCTCTATAACATCAGGATTACCTGATGCAAACTTCTATTTAAGCCTAAATTATTTATTTATTTATTATGAACTTATTTCATCAGACACATTATTTTAACATATAAGCTTTTTACAATCTATTAAAAAAGTTTAAATTTGCAAAAAGTAGCACATGGAAATGATAGAGTAGCAAAAATTTTGCAAAATCGCACATACATAAATTTTAAATGCAAAGGTTTGTCAAAAGTAGCAAATTTGCAAAAAATCGCAAGATCTGGCAACACTGAGCCTGCCTGTTGTAGGACCTACTTTCACCAGTATAACATTGATTATTTTTGGCAAACACTATCACCAAATAATGCGATTTAGTGCCAATAATAGAGAAGCAGGTTGTTGGAAGATAATCATTAGATCTTCACCTTGGTAACCTAAATATCCAATGAATTTCCATTAATTCTCAATAAGCTGACAAACCAAATTAATTCTCAAGAGGTTGGTTTAATTTTTGTAAAGAACAACATTAGTCAATTGCTATTTTCCTGTTGTTTCCAGCACATTCTGGAAAAATTATTAAAAGTTTAGATCCTGCCTTCAATGGAGCAGTATTTTCAAAATTATGCAATCCTGGCATCAAGTAGTACACATTAATAGCACAATATGCAACTTTTTTTTAAAAAGGCATACAGAATGGCGACGCAATGCGAGACATCATGAAAAGCGATTGAAGCTTTTTATGCTATATCCACAACTTGTATCAGCTGATTGTTTAAGTAAACAATGAACAATTCTATTTCATAAAATTACTGGTGGGAGTTTGACAGGATGTCTGCCAACTCTCATGGTTCAGGATTTCATTACTGAATTAGCTGTATTGCTTTCATAAATACCTCAGCTTTTATGTCTGAAACACATTTTTTTAAATCTCACACAATTTACACGCAGGCTTTTGATAGTCAAGCTGATAATGAAAATCATCATTTTCATAGGCCCACCAGCGGCCAAGTCGCTGAACACTGGTAGTTCGATCAGGTTCGAATCCCGCGAACGAGCCGGCTGCATGGGCGTTTTTTGGTTTTCCCCATGTGTAACGTGTATACGAGCCAGTTTCCTTTAGAAAGTCCTCCGCGAAGGCAGTCCTCCCCTTAGGCAGATAGCCCTCGAGGCTTTGCCATAATCGCGCAAGCACATCATTTTTATAATTTTTGACTGAAAATTTCTTTTTCCATTCTTTCTACAGGGATTGCATCTTTTATACGCTCAACTACCTGGTATTATTATCACATATCAGGTATTCACCATTTCCCAAACATTTACTTTGTTTATAATTTTACATGAATTTCTTTGTGCCTCAGTTTCATGTACGATTTTGCATGTTAAGAGCAGAATTATAGACAAGCTCAATACATAATAAAAGGCTAACAGCATTTATGTCAAATAATGAAAGAAACTGTCTCTCTTTGTCAATGAAAAATAATAAATGAAATATTTTTTTTAAATATACATATATTAATATGTAAAGAGTAAAGAAAAGGGTTAACAGCCAATTCTCTGTTCTCCTCTTGCATTTCAAAAGAAGGATTGAAATTTAGCACCTGACTTTTGGAGAACAGCAATAAGTGGATACTTTCAAAGTTACAGTATTGATTACATTGATGCACATACTCAAAACGTTGAAAGACCACTGCAAAATGGCTCAATAAAGAACACTGCATTTAAGTGATCCTTTTGCCTAATAGACTTGCTACATACATCATATACTTCAGATTCCTGTCCAGCCTACAGTAGCATATGCTTTCTTTCATACTTCACATACCTCCCCTCTTTTTTTTTTTTTTTTTTAATTTAGGCAACTCTTCCACTCAAAATTTTCAATTATGTACATGACACTTCTCTGTGGATAATAATGTGCCTCTTTAAGTAATACTTTTGTCGAAAAGACTTCCTACATAATTCACACACATGAGGTTTCTCTCTTGTGGAAATAAGCATGTGTTTACTTAAAGTAGTCTTCAGTTTAAAAGACTTCTTACATACCTGACATACATGAAGTTTTTCTCCGGTGTGGATGAGCATATGATTTTTTACCGCATTCCTTTGTCTAAAAGGCTTTTTACACACCTGACATACATGAGGCTTTTCTCCTGTGTGGATGAGCATAAGAATTTTTAATGTATTATCGTTTCCAAAAGACTTTTTACAGAGCTGACATACATAAGGTTTTTCTCTTGTATGTGTGAGGATATAATTTTTTAACTTAATTTTTTGTATAAATGACTTATTACATATCTCACATACATGACGTTTCTCTCCTGTATGAACCAACATGTGTTGCTTTAGACCAATGTTATGTCTGAAAGGCATATTACAGATTTCACAAATATGAGGCTTCTAACCTGTGTGGATAAGCATATGCAAATTCAAATGGACCTTTTGCCGAAAAGTCGTCTTACATACGTAAGTCGTCACGTATGTAAGGTTTCTCTCCTCTGTGAACCTGCATGTGCTCCTTTATGCAATTATCCTACACCTTATATGCAAATTATTTGTTACATATTTCACACGTATATGGCTCCTCTCCAGTGTGAACAAGCATGTGAGTTTTCAGATGAGCTTTTTGTCGAAATGACTTGCTACATATGTTACATACCTAAGGCTTGCTATTTGCATGGTTAAGCATGTGGTCATTTAAATGAATCTTCTGATCAAAAGATTTGTTACATGCAGCACACTTGTAAGGTTTCTCTGCTGCATGAATAACCATGTGCTTTTTTTAGGCATCTTTTACTTGGAATGACTTATTACACACTTTACATACGTAAGGTTTCTTTTCTTCACTTGACATACATAAAGTTTCTTTCCTTTCACACAAATCATTCTCTTCTTTAAAGGATTTTTTACTTCTGTTACACAGATGAGATTTCTTTCCAGTATTCAGAACCATAGTCAGACGCATGTGGTTCTGTAATGTATTTTTTCGTGCAAATGACCTATTACGCATCTTACATCTGTGAGGCTTCGCTCCTGTATGAATTAGCATGCGCAGTTTTAATGACAATTTACGCTTGAATGACTTGTTACATACTTCACATACATAAGGCATACATACTTCTGTGTGGGCAAGTATATGCGTTTTTAAGTGAATTTTTTGCCTAAAACACTTATTACATACTTCACACATATAAGGTTTCTCACCTGTGTGGATAAGCATTCTGTCTTGTAAGGATAAGGATGCAGTTTCTTAAGATTAATTTGCTTCTCTCCTGGTATCTCTAAGAGAATTTTTTATCTAAAGCATTTACTACATACTTCACACATACGAGGTTTCTCTCTTGTGTGGATAAGCATGTGATTCTTCAAAATTATCTTTTGTGCAAATGACTAATTACATGCCTCACATATGTGAGATTTAATGAGCCCCCAACAAATTTTGTTTCAGCAGAGCAGTCTTCTATTTGTAATTTTACATACATATAGTTATGCGAATGCTTTATATTCTTGCCGAAGATGGCTCAAACTTATTTTATGAAACTTAACTTCAGTAAATGAACTGAAATGTTCAAAATAACAAATTTATTTTTAACAAAAATGACAATATTGAATACTAGCATACGCATGTGCTTATAGTTACCTATGTAACGTAGCTAAAAGACAGCAACCATAAGCTCTTACTTCAAGACAATCTGCATACATACTAATCAGCAAAAAAAAAAAAAAAAAAAAAAAACTTTAGGGTTACACTAAAATGGTTTTTCTGCTGTGATACTTTTTTTAAATAAAGTTTACTGTTCAACCATTTTGCAGACATATCATATAATAACCATTCCTTTAGTTTTCAGTAAACACCATTTTTTGAATGAGATTCTGGATTAGTGACTTAATACATATATTACCAAAATATTTCTTTTTTTTCCTTCTCATACAGTTCAAAATCTAAATTTGCAACAGGTTTATTGACTTAATGCCTTACACTCGTGCTAACCTACCAAATAGAAAACCCATTATACTCCGTAAACCAACCGCATCAGCAAAGCCAAAGAACGTCTATACATATTCAATACATATTCTTTACACATATTCAATACGTCTATGGCACACCAGCGGCCGAGCGGTAAAGTCGCTGAAAACTGGTTGTTCGGTCCGAGGTTCGAATTCCGCGAACGGGCTGGCTACATGGGCGTTTTCGTGGTTTCCCCATGTGTAACGTGTATACGAGCCAGTTTTCCTTAGAAAGTTCTCCACAAAGGCATTCCTCTCCTTAGGCAGATAGCTCTAGTGTGCTTTGCCGTAATTAAATAAACAAAACCAAACCAAATCAATACGTCTATACATTACATATTCTTTGGCAAAGCACACAAACATAAATTGCACAAGAAGCTAAATCTTTCTGCCTACAGGACTAAAAATCTCAAAGCGTCAAAAACTGGTGGTAACTGCGTCATCACGGAGTCCGATTTAAGTCTACACTCCTTGTAAGTCTATGACATGTCCTCTCATATGGGCTACATATTTATTTAATAGCTAGATACATTTTACGCTTTTTTTAAATGCTACGAAATCACTTTTTTCTCAAACCAACCCTTTTCCTAACTCCTTAGCTTAATTTTTCGCCCGGCGGGCAGAAAGACTAACGGATGCAAAACAAGTGTACTTTGTGTGTCTCTTCCTATTTGTCCTAAAAAAAATAGTGGATGCAAAAAGTTTGGTTACCCGATTAAAGTCTTGATTTACTTATTTCATTACTGCATTCAAATACAGTAAGACATTTTGACATTTATAAAGTAACTTACCACTTAGGCGAACGAAGTTCGCAAACATCTGCATCCGCGCGGCAGCGCTATCCCAGGTTAAAAATGTTGACGATTTTCGAGCTTGTAATGTGTCCAAGCATAGAAGAGGAAAAACATTAGGTTGAAGAAGTCGTAGGGCAATTATAGAGTTTCCGAAGTAGACATCACGTTGATCAGGAACAGTGTAGGAAGTGGAAAAAGTCGTCAATGAAATGTTTGAGGGCTGCACCAGTGGCGATGCTAAGAAAATGTAAGATAAGGAGTAGACTTTAACTAGGAGGAAGCAAAAATACCCAGCAGTCTGAACTAAAGCAAGAGATGGTACCAAAAGTTAAACAGTTAAATATAAGCATTTAAGTACAGAAAATTACGATCAACCAAAATTACATATATTTTTTTTAAATATAAATGTATTATAGAATTAATTTTTGAGAGATCTACTAAGCATTAGCACAAAATAAGCGACATAACAAGTTAATTTAAAGCGTTTATTTCCTCCATAACAGAGTAGAGGATGCTAGATTTAGTACCTAAGTCATTTGCAGGCACTTTACTTTAAAAAAATTGTGTCACCCTGTGTAGGTTGCTTCCAAATGCTCTTTGAAATTCAGATAGAATTTTCATTAGTTCCAATAATTCCGTACGATTACTGCTGTTTGGCAAACTACTGGAGTTCATACCATTTCTACCTATGGTGAGATTTGTAGAAAATTTTCCATAGCAGCAGATTCCAAAGAGGAATTGCCATTTTGTTCTTCACTACCTCATTTTAAAGCCTCAGTATAACTCACACCATTGCAGCGATTAGAAGAAGGCCTTTTAGGTCTCTTATTAAGGCTAGGAAATATTTCATAATTTCTATATGAGGCAGAGTGACCCTCTTTTCCGCAGCTGCAGCACTTAGGTACGTCTAAGTGCTGCAACTGCGGAAAACTGCATCATTTATCGCAGTCCTGAGTCTTATGATAACTAACTTACCACTCGAGCATCCTAAAAAAATGTCTGTTAGAGTAGACTGAAGGGTACCCCGTGTATTATCGCAAAATTGTTGTTTTATTTATTGCCAAGTTGTTGTTTCACTTGTGGTAGCCTGAGTAGTTGAATGTTCCATAAATATACTTTTACCTAGAATTGGGTTGACTTTTTAAGTGAAAAATCTATCGGTGTGTACAAGGATGAAGTCGAGTGCCAACTTTGTACAGTGCACAGTGCCAACTTTGTGCAATTCTCTGATGTCTTTTTAAGTGAAAATAGGTCAAAGTGTTTATGAATAAAGGGAGTGCACAATGCCTAGTTTGTGCAATTCTGTGATGTTGTTTTGCTTGAAAATAGGTGAATGTGTACATGGATACTGAGTTTGTGCAGTTATTTGAGTTATTTTGGTTTCGTGTAGTGGGGATTTGTGACGCTAAAATCGCCACTACAGAAAGCCAAAATAATAAGTCTAAGAATTGCACAAACTCGGTATCCGTGTACCGCCAATTTTCGCCAAGAGATACCCATAAATGTACTTTTACCAAGTTAATAAAAAGTAAGTAACTGCAGTTGTGTTACATGGTTAAATATGAAAATTTTGTGCCTGGAAAGAGAACTGAAGCAATGTCATCACATTTGTGTATGCTTGTTTTTAGAAAAGAAGTGCATCTTATGACTAAGTAATAATTTTTAAAGGAAGTAAGGTTTTTTAACGCTCTTAAAAAAAAAAAAAAAAAAAAAAAAAAAAAGGTTATAGTTGTATTATTTAATTTATTATTGTCTAATGCAGTCTATAATTCCCTTTTGATGAATGCTTTAATCCAGCGGTTCTCAACCTTTTGACTAACGCGTACCACCTAAACAAAAATATAAAACCTTTAGCATTACAAAGTACTACTGCCCCTCTTGAACAAAGCTCAGATCACATAAATTTATGAGTGTTAGAGAAAAAACTCAATCAGGATATTGGGGTTTTTATCTTTTGAATTTAATAGTTAAAAATACTTAGCTTCTTTGTGTACCACCTATTTTTTAGCAGCGGTTGAAAACCCCTGCTTTAATCCAAGTAGCTGAACATTATAACCTAATTAATTTGGTCTACACATTCATCTAAATTAATTTAACTAATTCTTAATTATATGTTTATTATCTTTAATATTATTTAAATGAACAAAATATATCAGAAATGTGTAAATAAATTAACAATAGGCTTAATTTTTTTATGGTCTAGAAAGTAGAACAAGCAAGCTGGATAAATGAAATAGGGATAACTAAAGCACTACTGCTTTTACAGTGTCTGCTTTGGATATGATATGCACACTTATTTATGCATGCTGATGTTTCTTTCTGTGTTGCAGGATCAAGAAATGTCTGTTGCCTTTACTATACACCAATAGTATTTTTATTTGAGATGTATAATCCATCACGAGGTGGTGTTCGTGGAGGTGCTGACCAGTTTACCTGGGAAAGTGTCAAAACTGATAAACACAGAGAAAACTATTTAGGTATGTTTAAAAATATGAGAAAAAAACTGTAACTTACTAAGTCAATTTTTTTATTTAAATAAATATGCTATTATGTAAATTTGTTGTTCATGCTTGCCTTTTTGGGCTCTAGTGTAAAATTGGGTGCCCCTTCGATTAGCGACAAATTTTTTTTTTTAATTTTGCCGATCAAACCTCATTTCTGGTTACCATGATAGTTTTAACTTTGTTTTGGTTCCTGATTTCTTTTTAAATGAAAATACACTCATGTCCATAAATTAAGGATAATTCGTAGTCACCCGGAAATCGAACTCTAAAATAATATATCACCTGTAAAATAAACTACACACATCTTCAAATCTATCAAATTTCAGGAAGTAACCAGATGACACCGATGGTACGTCACATGACGAGAGTGGAAGAGAGATATATAAGGAATACAGGCAAAGAAGTAAAATTGTTCGCAGGCGCTTTATAAGCATTTCAGTTCAATAACTGAATAGTTATGACACGAAGGTTGCATTTGGATGACTTTTTACATGGTAGACTTATCGGCCGTGTGGAATGTGGGCGCACCCAACTGGAAGTATCAGACGAACTTGGAATTGCCCAGAGTGTCATCTCCAGGCTTTGGCAACGATTCCAAGATGATGGTAATGTGAGTAGACATTACAGCACAGGTTGCTCCAGAGTTACAATGCCAAATGAGGACCGGTATTTGGCAGTTACTGCCAAAAGAAACAGGTGGAGCACAGCCTCAGATCTGTCTCGTCAGCTCTTTTCAGCCACTGGTACGACAATTTCAAGGCAGACCGTGTACAGGCGCTTAGGGAAGATTGGTCTATATGCTTGTAGACCTGTCAGATGCGCTCCACTTACTGCAACTCACTGTCACCGCGGTAGCCTGGAGTAGAGAGCATGCATTGTGACACCGCAACAGTGGGCTTGTGGATGTGATTTTCCAGAGGATCAGGTTTAGCTTGCAGTCTAGCTAACTTTCAGAGCTCCAGGTACCTGTTACCACCAAGAAAACATCATTGAACGACGGCACGTTATGGCGGTGCAGGAGTGCTCGTTGGGTGGAATTATTCTGGATTCCAGAACTGACCTGCATGTTCAAATTGGAACCATGACAAGCCAAGTCTATCGGGATGTCATTCTGGAACAACATGTAAATTTGTTTCGGGGCGCCATAGGTGCACAATTTGTGTTTATGGATGACAACGCCCGTCCTCACTGCAAACGTTGTAAGCGAATGCCTTCAGTCGGAGGATATGGACTGGCCAGCATTCTCACCGGACTTGAATCCAGTAGAGCACGTGTGGGACATGCTTGGCCGAGGAGTTGCAGCCCGTCAACCTCCTCCTACATGTCTACCAGAACTTCGGAGAGGCATTGCTTTTTGAGTGGTGTAAATATCCCCCAAGATCAGACCGATAATTTGATACTCAGCATGCCTAGGCGTTGTAAGGACTGTATTGCATCGTCTGGGAGACATACAATGTACACAGTCCAGTCACATTAATGTGACCACCACGTACTTTTCCATGTCAGAGTTAATAACCAATCACAGAAGGCAGGTGGCAGCACAGTGCAGTTGAGCGTATATAAAGGGTGTGTGAGGGCTTCGGAAAACATTTCAATCGTTGGCGTAATGCAGAAACGAAGCGATTTATCCGACTTCCAAAAGGGCCAATCATTGGCTTTCGGACCAAGGGTGGAAGCATTTCCGAAACGGCTGAGTTTGTGAACTGTTCGCGTGCCGCCGTGGTAAAAGTGTACCGTGCATGGCAAAATGGGACTGTCCAAAATCAGCGACGTAACAAATGTGGTGCACCACGGGCCATAGATGACAGAGGCGAACGACGGTTGCGGAGATGCGTTCAGGCAGATAGACGGGCTACCGTTGAGCAACTGACCACCAAAATGAACCAAGGGGCTACCAAAAGTGTCTCCCAAAGTACTATTCAGCGAACATTGCTGCGTCTGGCTCCGAGCAGACGCCTGGTTCGTGCACCTATGCTGACTGCTGTTCATCGACGGCGAAGGCTAGAATTTGCACGCCAGTACAGCAGCTGGACGTCCACTGAGTGGCGACAGGTTGCGTTTTCGGATGAATCGCGTTTTATGCTCCATCGGACAGATGGACGTTGGCGTATAAGGCATGAAACCTCTGAAAGGAACACCCTGCAACCATTGCCGAACGGTCCAAGCTGGAGGCGGGAGCATTATGGTCTGGGGAATGTTTTCCTGGCATTCTCTAGGTTCACTGATCATTGTGGAAGGCACAATGGATCAATACAAGTACGCATCTGTCCTTGCGGACCATGTTCACCCCTACATGCGCATTGTTTTTCCTCAGGATGATGGCATCTTCCAGCAGGACAATGCGAGGTGCCATACAGCTGCCAGTGTACGTGCGTGGTTCGAAGAGCACCAGGATGAGTTTACCGTCCTCCCCTGGCCAGCAAACTCACCTGACTTAAACCCAATCGAGCATCTGTGGGACCATCTCGATCGAGTTGTTCGCGCCATGGATCCTCAACCGCGTAATCTAGCGCAGCTGGCCACGGCATTAGAGTCGGCATGGCTCAACATCCCAGAGAACACCTTCAGGGACCTATGTGACTCTCTTCCTGCACGTCTCGTAGCAGTCCGCCCTGCGAAAGGTGGTTATTCTGGCTTTTGACAGATGGTCACATTAATGTGACTGGACTGTGTATTAACAATCATACCAACCATGTAATATTGTTTTTCTGTAAATAGTGTTTTTTTTTTTTTTTTTTTTTTTTTGTAATTTGCTCCAGGGAGAAAAAATCGCTAATTATTTTAATAATATCAAACATATAGCATCTTTTTTTGCTCTTTTACCTTTTGTTTAATAAATAAGTTTTACAAGTAAGTCAAATTTGTTTTGCTTCTAACTCTTCCTTTGCCTGATTTTGCATTATCCTTAATTTATGGACATGAGTGTAGATTGATGTTTTACATGGACAAATTTGAGGCAGTGTGCAATACCTAATTTGTGCAAATCTGTGTTTTTTTTTTTTTTTTTTTTAAGTAAAAACAGATTCATGTGTAAATGGACACAGAGTTGTGCAATTCTTTGACTTCTTATTTTGATTTTGCGTAACGGCCATCTTGAAATTGTTCCTTCCTGGTGCCGATCTTGGCATCAAAAAAGAATCGCCAAAAGACAAGGGGTGCCCAATTGTAAACTTTTACCCTTTTTTTACTTATCTGCACAAGTTTAAAAATCTTATAATAATACTTTCAAGTTTACAAAGTAAATTTTACCATGCAAAAGTGTATGATTGAGTTTTAAAATATTCTTATGTAAAGGAAAAATAGTATGTTTAAATATTGAGAAGATTTTTTGGTACTTTTCCGTTTTGCCGGCGCAAATTTCGCCAAGCAGACTTTATTGACGACAACATACAGTGTACACATAAAAAATTTTAACAAATGTTAGTTCTAAGCATTTTTTATTTTGAAGGCATAAACATTTTAATATGGTTTAAAATTTTGTAAAAAGCCAATAAATTTGTAAAAAGATATTAATTTAAGAATTTACTATGCTTTCATGGTTCAACATCCTAATTCGCCTTTTCATATCACGTGACTCCAAGTGATCTCATCTCACGTAAACTACACTGAAAAATCTAATTCTCTCAGTAATTATCTACATTAATTTCAGGTTAAATCTTAATTTGGAATAAAAGTTTAAATGCAAGAATTATTTCAATTCGTACCTATAGCTTACTCAGAAATTATGTAAAACTGCAGTGCTTTACTTCGTTAGTGCATTTTCATTAGAATGGATGAATTTAATCTTTAACCTTGCCTTTTCTGTATTTTCGCTTTCGGGTGAGCCATATGATTGCATCCCAATTGACTTTATTACCGCGAATGGCCTTAGGGCGTAGAATTGAACTACTTGGTAAAAAATCTATGTATTGAAAGAAACAATCAAGCTGATAAGAAATGGCTGCGAATTGTTTTGAAAATGAAGTTGTAAAAGGTTACCAGCAAGGATATTACGTTTGGCATCAATTGTACCATTATTGGCGACTTTAACGCCGGGAAAATGGAAAAGTACCGATTTTTTCTATTTAAAATTAAAAATGTCTTTTCAGAATTATGAATAAGCATGGAACATGAACACTGATAGAGTAATTTTACCTCTAATATTTTTTACCTGTTTTGTCGCAGTAATGACTTTTAAAAAATAAAAAACAATAAAACAATAGAAGGAAACAATATGGATTACAAGATTTAGGCAGTTACTGAATGATAGCCATGATGAAGTTCATGTGGTTTTGGAGTGAATAATGATGACACTTGATGAAGTAGCAAAACACACTTTATTGGCCAGTGTTCTCAGGACAGCTCCAAAATCACGTTTACACAGTTGGCGAAGAACTACAATAAACACGCCGGAACAATCAGCGACACAGCCTTCAGGTTATCAGGCTATACACAGAAGACAGCTTCACTGAAAAGCACCAGAGTACAGCTCTCGACTCTGCTCGGTTGTTCTCGGAACTCCACGTACTCTCGAGACTCTCCAAGCTACAACTCGCGATGCACTCGACGACACACAGAGCACGGCTCTCGACTCTTTGGTTTAGTCATTCCCGGAGCTTAACACACTCCCTCGACAATGCACTAACCGTGATACACTAAAAGACTCTTGGATGCACTTGACGACCAACTCGCCGCTAGACTTCGAGACACTTGCTCAATGAAACTAAATCTGGAGTAAAACCCTCCAGATCTGGAGAGACATGTGTAAAAGAAACAGCCGACCCCCAGCGGTGTTTACTCCTTTCATCACGAAAGGGTCCAAGACCTTATGCTCTGCTACATTTCAACACTGAGAACCTCTTATGACAGGAAACAAAGATGAGACAGAATTTTATATGTTAAGTAAAAAACCATTATTGGGCTATCAGTTTACTTCCCATCATATTTATATAACAAGTTAAAAAAATTTCTGTCACAAAGTACCTTTAAAAGATGCCAAAAACTTAAAGTGCATTTAATAGTAACAGTTTTTTAAAGGAAAATTATAATTATATTTATGATATATATTTGATATTAATAAATTTGTATGTTTCTGTAATAGGACATTCTCTAAAAGCTCCAGTTGGCCGCTGGCAGAAGGGTAAAGATTTATCATGGTATGCAAAAGAAAGAAAAAATGAATCTCTTGTTCAAGCTGAAAAATCTGAATTGGCAGCTATCAAAAAGGCAGAAGAAGAAGCTATGCTAATTGCACTGTAAGATATCTTCTGTACGGTTTTTTAATGTGATGATAGTTTTCGGTCGTAATTGCATTTACAGTGTAAGAGCATGATGAAAGTAAAGAATAAGCATATTTTTTTAATTCTTTCACACATCACATAAAAATAGAACTATTTAGAATACAAAAATATATGTGTAGTGCTTTTTAAACTATTAAATAAATCTTTTAAATCAGCTAGCTCAATATTTCATAAAGTGTGCAAGTAAATATGAACATTATCTTTTCCTTTTAGGCATGGATCAGTGTTTTGAGGACATGAAATCAGTGTTAGTTTACACAATCCAATAAAAACCAAGACAGATAACAGATAGACTAACTGCTAAGATAGACAACTACTACAATGGATACTAAGACTAACAGACAAGAGAGAACTTTAATAATTACTGTTTGCATACTTATTTACAAATACATCACCCTTTTGCATTTGAAGTTTTATTTTGCTTAATGTTCAGCATTCTACCTAAATGATACTTTGCTCTCTTGTAAATTACCTAAGTCTCTCTACTCTGAATGTTTTTCTTTTCACTGCTGCCAGATTCAATCAAAGTACTGTGTTGTAGTTTTGTTGTGGGTTCTTTTGAAGTCCCAACACAATTCAGCATTAGAAGCATAACATGAAAGTTCATTTCACATTATTAAGGAAAAAGAAATGCTGTTATCTTCTCTCTAAACACAGAGATCGACTGATCTGTACAAAACAAACTGCTCTGTTTTGAAATGGACTGCCATATATTTCTGTATATAAGCTGAGGAATTTTAGCAAATTTTGATGACTGAAGTTTAGGAAGTCCATCCATATTGAGTTCAAATTTGTTTACAAATAATTTAATCCCAAAAGTAAATATGTTAACTAATAAAAAACTATTACTTTTGTTTTATTTAATTCTTATGTATATTAATCAAATTTCATAAAATCCATATGGGACTTGGAACGTTTTAGCAATTTTCTGAAGTCTTTAATTAAGACGAATCCATGTGAATGCATTGTCCTGCAAAAAAAAAAGTAATTGTTTTCCATGGTTGAGGTAATGCTTATTCTCTCTTAATAAATACTGCACTTCTTATATTTTAAATTACAAGTCTAATTTTTCTTTTAAGGTTATGCAGTGTGTATAATGTAATTAGACAAATGCTTGTTTTTTTTTTTTTTTTCTTAAAATGGGCTTATATGTGCTTATTTTTTTAACTAAAATGAAGCTACAAACCCTGGAGGGTAACCCTAATCCCCTTCAAAGTAGGCTGCTTGTATCTCTACATACTTAGCCCACTGATTCTTTTACCAACAAAAACACTTCTGGAAGGCTTCTCGTGGAATGGCATTCATCTCTGCCACCAACTTCTTAAACCTTTTTGGCAGTACAATATTACCTGCCCAGAACCAAGTAACACAGTTAACATGTGATGCAGGCATGATTTTTATTTTTGAAGGAACTTTTATTTGTAAATAAAGTACTATTGTCTAATGTTTAAGAGAAGATTTAAAAATGTATGTCATATCTGCATTAGGCTTGTACTCAACTTGGATTGATACAATGTTTTTTTTGTGGTTAGTTTTTTTTTTTGTTTTTTTTTTTTTTTTTTTTTTTTTTTTTTTTTTTTTTTTTTTTTGTTTTTTTTTTTTTTTTTTTTTTTTTTTTTTTTTTTTTTTTTTTTTTTTTTTTTTTTTTTTTTTTTTTTTTTTTTTTTTGTTTTTTTTTTTTTTTTTTTTTTTTTTCGTCTTTTCATCCTGAGAATTAATAGTAATAAATTTTTCACACTTAATTTATATCTTAGTTTATTAGTTAAAAATTATTATATTTTTATTCATTTAAACCAGTGGTTCCTAAACTTTTCCAAGTTGCAGAGCCTTTTTTTAATTAAAATTTTTTCATGGCACCCATCCTAAGTAAAAGTATGAGTAATTGTAAGTAAGAAATAAAAATAAATATAACTTATGCATCTTAAATATTTAACTTTTTTTAAACTTTATTAACATTAAATTAATAATTGTGATGGATGAGCCTGCAGATAACTGCACATGTTCTCAAATTGTGGAATTAAACTGGACATGGCTACCCTAATGTCCTTTTTCAGCATTGAATTGTGCTCTAGTATTTGCTTTTTACTACATTGACAGCCAAAAACTCAGCTTCATGCAAATATGATGTCAAACATGGAATAAAAGTCCCATGAGTCTTATCACTTAGAAGAGAATATTCTTCTTTTATTGAAATCTAAAATTCTGTCAATTATATGCTGCCAAATTTTGTTTTCGTTGTCGCAGGGTAGCTTGATAAGATTATCTTCTTCCGCGGAGGTAAATTCCGATGGAACCCTATAGTTTAATGGATCTTGAATCCATGCAAACCTGTCAAAATTTTCATTTTCAAAGTATTTCTCAAACCAGATAAAGTCAAAAGTCTTTGATGTGGACACCCATAATCGGGAATGATCTATAATCAAAACCTCAAAGCTACAAACTTTCTGCACATGCGTAAATACATCATGCATTTACATGCGCATTACGCATGCGTATTGTGTGCATTTAAGCATGGGCATAATACGTTTACACATGTGCGTTTAATGTATAACAGATGGTATAAGCTAAGCTAAAATTATCTAATTATCTATTTCAGTTAATGTTGCAGATTGCGTTGTTCCTTAATCTTCGAATTGGATCCGGCTTATTATTTTTTGCAAACTGTTAGAGCAATTTTATAAAAAGTAAGCTTGAACTTTCGATTATGTCAAAAAGAGTTTCCAATTCTGCAGCTGCCAAAGGATCTACAAAGCAAAAGCATGTTTCGATGTCCATTAAACAAAAAATGGAATTGCTGCAAAAAAATGGATAAAGTCATGAAGAAAGTGACAGAGAGGTGATCTGTTTCTCTAACCATTCCGAAATCTGTTTATCAATTTCACACTGCTCTGCAGAAGGGGGGGAAGTCGCAGCACGCAATGAACTGAAGGTTGATCTGTCAGCACTATTCCCATCTTCAGGGCAGATGTTTTTATTTTATTCAGCTTATAATTCCTCACTAAATTAGTGTTTGATCTGGATGTACTCCGTCTTTGATATGATTTAAATCAAATTCCTCATCATTATAAATAAAAACAAATACACATCAAATAATTTTTGGTTGCAATTTTCTAATTTCGACTATGTGTAATGTATGCTTTACGCATGCGCTCATTGAAAGAAATGTTTAATAAAGTAAACAAATAAATATTAAGCTTTTTTTTTTTTTTTTTTTTTTTTTTGTAAATTTTGGAAGAGTTTCATATTTTTAATTGTATTATTTCTGCATGCCATCTTACCAGATTTAAACTGATGATCCATAATACAGAAAAACTGATAATCCGGAATCGCCGAAGTCCCAACGAGTCCGGATTTAAGACTTTTGACTGTAATTAATTGTGATAAATGCCTTTCAAACATGGATTTTTATATCTTGAGAAAGTTCATTTAAGATTAAAAATTGCTTCAGTATTAAAAAGCAATCTTTCCCTGCATCTCCAATTCAGTTATCTTCTCCATAGTTTGAGCTCTTTTTTATAAAAGCTGATTTTTTCCCCTGTTTAACTGCAAAAGGTACGAGTTTTTTCCCTGCAGAGAGAGAGATTAAAGAAAATCAGATCTTCAAAAATGTCAGAAAAATATGTCAGTTTTATTAAAAAATCAGCATCAGCAAAATCTTCTTCTGCATCTTTGTATCCTTCCTCTTTATGAAAATTTCTTGCCGCATTTCAAAGGCACATGATAAACTTTACCACAAAATAGCCATCGTGAACAGTACAACGACGAAGACGAATGTTTGGCTCCCATATCTTCATACAGTTTTCAACAACCTTGCTTTCAATGGACATGAAAGTATAAAATTTACCACATTCACCGCACATTCTAACACATGATTCAGTTAAAATCTCAGATGCTTTGAACAAAAATGCTTCTGTATGAATAATGCAATAGGTCCATACTGTCAATCAGTGAATTGCTTCGAATAAGCACCTGTAATCCTTAGTAGCAGCCAGACATGGAACAAGCTCCATCATTACAGACACCAACGCACTTAGACCAATTCAAATTATTTTCAGACATGAATGTATCAAGAATATGAAACAGGTCCTTAAATATTGCTTGTGCAGTGACATTTTTACAAAACACAAGGTCGTCTTTAATATTATTACCATCTATATACCGTACATAGCATATCAAATGATCATCCTTATTATTATCCATATCCTGATCTAGCTACAATTCAAATTCCACTCCTTTAATTTTTTTCAATTAATTGAACATTCATATCCTCCTCTGTATGATGTATTCTCCAACTAATTGTGTTATTGGACAAAGGTACTTTTAAAAATAGCTTCCCAGCAGACTCAACAATCACAATGTTCACCATATCTACAGGAGCCAGTAGAATAAGTTATTCTGCAAGGATATGAGGCTTCTTATTCTGTAAACCACCTTGTAAAATGGTAGCAAAGCATTGTTTGGCATTGATGCAGTCTTAAAATATATATATATTTAGTTCTTTTAACGTCCTAGCAAAAATGTCACTAGGTTTGACAACCATGCATGCTGTGGTGATTAGTTTCTAAATTGCACTTCAGTTTACTTGAAAGCATACACTCCACTGCCAAAATTTGCATTGTGATCTCTCTTCACCATTCATTTCTTTTGACATAAAACCAAACTCTAAATAACCATCATCATATTTATGATATTTTCATTTCTTCATATTTTCTTTATATGCATAATTATGTTTATTAGTTTTCAAAAATCCGTCCATCATCAAAGACACAAGAGAAAAAAAAAAAAAAAAAAAAAAAAAAAAAAAAAAAAAAAAAAAAAAACTGTTTTTCAAAGACAACAAACAAGAAGTAATATAACACTAACTATGCTAGCTACATGAACTAATTTATCATTGTTTATTATCTGCTACATGCTAGCTATATGAACTAATTTATCATTTTATATACATATATATATATGTATATGTATGGAATATTTTGGCAGTCAGGCACATGAGTTCCGAACATTGTTGTGGCTGAGTGTTCAGGCGGCATCCAATGACGACACAGAAGAATTTAAGTTTATAGCTGCATATCTTTAGTTCAATTAAAAAAGCAGATTATTTATTCTTTACTCAATATGATTACCTTAAATTCACTGCATCATAGTATTCGAACAAAGAAAGGCAGAAGAGCAGCAGCAGAGAGAGGAAACAGCTTCTGACGCCAAATGGCGTGAATTCGT